TATTTTTGTCTGCTGTACTGGTAGGCTACTGTTGCACTAACTCTGTCTTTGAATCTATTTCCTGCTCTGTAGTGCAGTTTTGGACTAATAAATACAAAGAAATATAAAGCATAAATCTTGGCACTGATCTAAAATATTACCTTATTGGTTAACTCATAATGTTATGTATGACAGATAAACAAAGATTACATGTGCCAACTGGGACAAGTTTTATCTGTATATGCAATTCTATTTTTTTTTTTAAATGTCATCAGTTGTTGTATTTGGTACTTGTAGGAAATAGTGGAATACTTGATTTAGTATCTTTGTAAGTGTTCTGAACAGTATGAAAAGAAAGCATTTCAGTACTAAACTTACAATAAAAGTAATTTTTAACAGGCTGGGGTTAGTGTCATAGACATTGCTACATAATTAAGGATGTACTTGCATGTCATCTTTTTGTGAATTAAATAAAGGCAACTTAGCGCTTCCTGATAATTACAGAAAATTTTACTATTGAAATGCATATAATCAGAGTTTTTGATTTTTGGTTACCTTGGGTTTGGAGTTTCATGTCATTTTCAGGCATGTTTCTGGCAGACGTGTTTTGTATGAGCTCTTACTCAAGACTGAGATTGAAGTTCTACTTCTTAGCTATTGGGAAATGAATATAGAGGAACATTTTTTATTTACCGGGGGAAGGGTACAGTTCTTTTAACTTCCTTTGTTATGTCATCTCCAACCAGGTAAGGTGTAGTAAAATGATAGTAAGCAAATAAAATGGTTGGTTGAAATTCAGATTTGTGGAATGGAATAGAGTTGAATTAAAATAGCTGTACTTTTAAATCATGTACATTAAATAAGTGATGTAAAATAAATGGATTTTTAGGTACTGGACTATAACTCTGTTAGCAGCAAACTAAATGGATTTCATGTTCTTCCCACAGTCCTGTTACCTTCTTTTGTGTAGATGTCTAGATGTGTTCTCAGTTTAAATAATATTAGGATTCTTAAACCAGGTCTCCCCTATTTCTGTTGTATTGTTTAATGCTGTTAATCCTTTGGGCTGGGTGAATGGCGTGGGGGTCCATCTGTGGGCTGGATCCTCTACAGGGTTGGGATGTGGGGTTGGTCCACTGGCCAGACCCTACGCGATGGATTTGGCCATGTGCTGGCCTGATCTGGTGCACAGGGCCATGTTATCTGGCCAGTAGGGCTCCCCACAGATTCAGAAATTTGGCATCAGGGGCACAGCAATTAATGCTGTCATTGTTCCCTGCTGCCAAATTTCCAGACCTGTGGGGAGCTGTGTAATTGGATGATGCAGTTCCACAGGCTGGATCTGCCCCATGGGCTGAGGGTTGAGCACCACGGCCTTAATAGAGTCTTGTATTGATTGTCAACTTCCTAAAGTAACTCTTAGAATGAGCTAGTTGGATAACCTGAACTTTTTCTGTTTGTTCTGTTTTTCTGTTGAACACATCTGTTCTGGGAAACAAAGTTTTGACCAGCCTGAATTCTTTATCCTGTCTCCCTTTTAACCTGTTCAACAGGGATCCTTCTTTTCTCTATTTAAAAAAATCACCAATTTTGGGATTTAAAAAGTAACCTCAAATTCCTATTTTTCCATGTATCAAGAAGTAGTTACCTGTACTAGTTGGAAGTCAGGGAGAAGGTAGGGCAAGGAGACACCTTAGAGATTCAGCTTGTTCAGGAAGTCATCGGCTTTCATAAGGGACAGCCTACTTCATCAGATGCTATGAATGAGGTAGGCTTTCCTCTGCAAAAGCTTGTGCATTTGTGAGACAGTCTCTGAAGTGCTACCCTGCCCTTCATTTTGCTTCATAACTTGTGTAATTGTGTAATCTTCTAGAAGATATAAGATCCAAGTTTTTTTCATGCGACAAGTGGAAAATTTTCAGGTTACCTTTAAGCATCATGACAGTAAAAAGGATGTAAATTGAGGCCCCTTCCCTGGTCACCTTCAACACTGCAAGTAACTTTCTATGAGCAGTGTTCGGTAAGATGAATATTATAGTCACCTGAAAAAATGAGATTAAAATATTAATCCCTTACAGAAGTGTATTTTTAATACTAGAAGGTGAGTTTTTCATACAAAATAAATAATTTCACCTTTTAAGCACCTTGAGTTGTACTGTATCTTTATATAAAGTATGCAGTGGGACTAACTCAGGAAAGTAATAATATATATTAAATTTAGTTTTAAGTTATTTAAATCTTTAGGATTTGTACTATGAAAACATTAAAGTATTTTTCCTGTTCCAGGGTAAACTTGATGATTACCAGGAACGAATGAACAAGGGAGAACGCCTTAATCAAGATCAACTGGTAATTTTTTTTAACTTCATTACATTTCTTTTTTAAGCCATTTCATACTTTCTTTTAAACCTAAAGAAATTGTTCTAATTGAGCTTCAGCTCTACTATTGATGGCAGAGTAAACAAGTGCCTAAGCTGCAAGGATACGATATATGTTTGTTTGGGCTTGGCTGGGTGTAAATTACTAATGCATTGCAGTGAAAACTGACTGAAATGTGTAACACTATGGTACTGAAATTTTAATTATGATTGTGCTAACATTCAGGTTTTGTTTCAAATTGTGAGAGCCATGCATTCAAAATATTCAGTTCATATGCTTGGCACAAAGCTCTGATTTGGTTTTTTTTGCAGGTGGGAGGAGTTCAAGAAAATTGTTATGAATCTGTTAGAATTCAGCTTATTTTATCAAAAAATTGATAGCTAGCTTCACTTATGAAGGAAGTTAGCAAGATGTTTATTTCAAACACTGACAAAACTGATCATCAAAATTGGGAGTGGAGAAGAGGCAGTTGAACAGTTTTATGAAGAGTATTATCTTTGATTACAACAGTGACTTAGTAGAGGTCTTACTCTTTGTTGAGGAGTTTTTGCTTTGAAGATAGAGTGGGATTTTTAAAGGTGGTCTTGCTACTAAGTCAATTAAAGATTATTTTTTTAAAGCATCTGTTTTTAAAAAATAAAGCAAAGGAAAATGATGTATGTGGGAACCTAATCAGTTAAGGTTTTCCTAATACCCTTAACAGTCCCTAAAGCAAAGGAATTGGAGGCTAAGGCAGCCATAATTTTATGTATTATTTCACCCTTATTTCTAGTATAACCCCTGTTTAGCAAGAGTATACCATCATTATCACTAGCCCCACAGGGATGTCAGCCTCCTTCCCCAAGTTTATGTACATTCTCTTGGAGTTATGCAGATATTGGGATGGGATCTGCCTGTTTTTGGTGTTGCAAGAATGAAATATTAATATGGAATGAAAAAGCAGAATGTAGGCTAATATTTGCAGTCTTTTAGGAAGAGAAATTTATACCTTTTTTAGGCTGCATTAATCTGTACATCAGCCCAAATCTGGTATGAAAATTAGTTTAATTTTCAGATCTTGAGCTCATGTGCAAGCTCAAAATTGTGTACAACTTCCTAAGACAAAGTTGACAAAAACTGAAGTTTCCCTCTTTATTTGACTCTTCAAATGTTTAACTTTGATTTTTCAGTAGTACTGCTCCTGCTTTTCATTAGTAGTACTATTGTTTAATGTTTTGATTATTTTCCAAGAAAAATAGAGCTTTATGCATAATGTTTTAGTTGAAAACATGCATCTGTTATGTAGTAAATGTTGCTTTTATTTTGTCAAGGATGCTGTGTCTAAGTACCAAGAAGTCACAAATAATCTGGAATTTGCAAAAGAACTTCAGAGGAGCTTCATGGCTCTGAGCCAAGATGTAAGTAAAAGGGCATGTGGTCCATTACAGGCCAACAGCTGAAGCAGAAAGCACTAAAGTCTTTAAACTTCCTGCTGTACAATGGGTTCTACTGTTTCATTAACAGTAGAGGATGCTCAATAACTTTTTCTAGAAAAGACCTAATGCACAATATCATTTGACTTAAACTGCAGTATGTTAAAGCAAAGAGCTAACCAGCATAAGCTTAGGTAGGTTATCTTGAAAATATATATTTAAACTTTTCAGTCATTGAGCTTTTTTGAATGGACTGCAACAATATGCTGAATAATTTGTAGTTGTAGATGATGATCAGCTCTTTTCAGTACCTTTTTTGTACCACTGTACGTCAAAAAGTATATAGACAAGAATGAACATACTACTTTTTCTTTGAATTCTTTGAGCACTTGGCAGAACTTGACCAAAACTTAGAAAATAGAGTATGGTACAGCATTGACCTGCATACTGTATCATTTCAGTAGATCCCCTTAAAACAAAATATTAGAAAAAGAAAAGAAAACTAGAAGATAATGTCATAGGTGTACTTAGGCTTGTATATGAACACAAACATTTTATTACTTTATATTTCAGTAGGGTCTAAAGTCCTAGCTAGGTGGTAGACCATATGTCTTAATCAGTAATAGTCCCTGCTCTACAGACCTTTGGGTGAACTCTTGCTGTTTTGGAGCAATGCAGAACTTAATAAGTACATGAAATTTTCTCCGGTCAGATAAGGCTACAATAAAGAAAAAGTTAATTGCATGCGAGTGTAGTGTGGGGTCCTAATTCAAATGATAACTATATAGGTGAAAGGTACTATATTTATTATGCTCACTGATAATACTTGCATTAACTTGTGAAAATGAATCCTAATTTTTTTAATTGACAACTTTAATTCCAGTCCTCTGACCTTGTACCTTTTGATTCCTTTGCCAAGTGCTTCAGCCACTAAATATGGTTACTCTTCAGTTGCACTGTATGGAATAAAGCTTAATGGGTGTTCCAGAATTAACAAGTCTGGAGCACTGAAATTTTTAAAAAACTTTATAGCAGTGCACTTAAGAGTGGCAAATTGTGGGAAGAGAAGTGACCCAGGTAGAATTTGTTGTCTTGTCAGTATTAGTGAAACCCTTATCTCTAGAAAACCTGGCAGCACATCTAGTTTGCAGGTTTATTGCTGCTTCTAAAGCAGTGATTTTCCAACCAAAGTTCCACAGCACCCTGAGGTGCTCAAAGATTCTTTCAAGAGTGCCATTCCATATTAGTGGTTAGGTATGCAGACACCTGTATGCAATTCACAAGATAAACTGAGCGATTTCAAACTGGAATCTGCAGTGTCAAAACCATTCTGAGCCATTGTGATTTTTCTGAATTTTTTGCAACAGAAGAATTTCTCTATTATTTTGCTGTAGTCAAAAAAAAGAAAAGAAAAAGAGAGTAGTGAAAACTAAGAGCAGGCATTTTCCAGTGGGTGTCTGGAATCTATTGAGGTTGAGAACCAGTGTTCTAGACAGCTTAAATATACTTTCCAATACTGTCAGCTTGGGTATGTAAATGCAAGTCACCTGGACTGTTTGGCCAGTTCCTAGTTACCTTCACTATATGAGGGCTCTACCTTCCTGTGTATAAAGCTCAACAACTTTTCATCTTCTGATAGGCATATTCTGTATTTATTTGGCATTCCTAATCAGTTGACTGGCAGAGATCAGTGAACACTGGAATAACAAATTTGACTTCCTTTTCTTGCTCATTTAATTAAGATTAGGTTTATAGCTTTTTTAAATAGTTAAATTTTTTTGGTATTGGACCTTTTATTGTTGCAGTCTTTGGGTGAATTGAGGCGTGAGGAAGCAACGCCTTGGCAGTGGTGACAGAAAGTGCATTAGGGGCTGCCTTTATTGTATATACACAATTCCCAATTTCAGAGACTGGTGTGTAATTTTGTATTTTTGCCTAAAAGGCAAAAAATATCTTCTCTACTAAATTGCTAAAGCTACCATTGTCCTATTATTCATCATGATTTTTAGCCCATAGTAAAATTATTTGTTAGCTGTATTTCTGTAGTAGTAGAGAGAAAGACAAGAGTGACGGAAGATTAGAGGGGCAAAACACTATAAGGAAAATCCCAATGAAGCTACTGTATCTGTAGCCAGACAGCTGCTGTTTGGCTGAATGGTCCTGGTCTATCATAAATCAGGCAAAATATGAAAGTTTTTGGAAGGTTTGTCTCCTTGCATGGGTGAGATCCTATGGATGGAATATACTCCAGGTCTGTCTTGACATTTAACTTCAGTTTTAAAAGAGAACTTGTATTTTCTAGGGACAACTGATTGTGTTCTCTTTGTTGACAGGTTGAAATCTCTTAAGTGTATTTGGTATGCAAAAATAGTGATACTCTTGTAAGATGTCTAGTTCACCTGCTCTTGCTTTAGAATCTTTTACTGCCAAATGGAAGGTTGAAAGATTTGTGCAAACTACAAGACATCTAGTGAGGATGATTAATTACAGTAGTTTCTTGGTATCCTGCAAGGATTAAGGCCACTTTATGCTTGATATTGCCACAGAGATCTTGCAATATAAATAGCTGAGAAAGGAAAGAGGCATGTATGTGAAGTGATTAGTCCACAATTGTCATGTTGGGAGTAGTCTCCTGAGTTTCAGTGGAGTACCCACTGCTGGATCAAATGGCCTCTCAAATTTGGATATATATCCCCTTGACTTTCTTTTTAGGAACAGTTTCTTCTGTTGACAGGGAAAAGAACCTACTCTGGCAAGTAAGTACTGTTGGAGATGATTTGAAATGGCCATGCCATTAATACAAGATTTTTCTGTCTGTAAGGATTCTGCTTAGGGTGTTTGTGAGTTTAGAATCTTTTGACTAATGTCAGCTGGTCTAGGCCTGTAATCTGTATGTCCCTGTGTCTTCTACCTCCCCTCCCCCCAGGCCCCTCTATAACCAAGGATACAGGACAAAATAGCTATGACCACATCTCTATACTCTCTGACTTGTGAGGCTAAACATAACAGCATCTCCCTTGTTTCCATTTCATCAAGTCACATTTAAAATATATAAAGTTGCTTTAGGGACATCTTTGTCATGTTGTCAGACTTAGATCTGTTTAAATTATTTTCTTTCAAACTTTTTGGCACATTGAAACCTTCCTGTTTAATGGCTGACCCTAAACTTTCCATCTGCATGCTGTTTCTGTCATGTGAACTTAATCCAGTATATTTTTTCTGTTTCTTGAGAACCACTTTACGAACTGTCTCCCCCTATGGAGGTTCATCTCCAGTAGGTCTTGTTGCTTGACTTATACCCAGATAAAATTTCATTTGTTAACGCAGTCTGGAACAAGCCTAAAAAAGAACTTCCTTGCACTCCAGAAAGACTTCTTGAGATTGCACTCTTCCAGGACCTGTTTAAGGAGGATAACATTGCCAGTAATGACAGCGTTTTCATTTGGTTATATTCAGTCCTTCAGGGTGAGGTTATTTGTGGGAAGCATGGCACTCAATCCCTGTCTTTTCACGCAGGGCATATCTAATCTTCATTCTGGGGGTGACTCGTAGTGCTCATTTTCATTCCTCAAATGGGGGAGAGTAAAGAAATTAGTCAGGGGTCTTCTGACTTGTCAATTGTGAAAGCACAGGATGGGTTTGATAGCATATAGCATTCTGTGAAGATAACCTTTCACAGCAGATTGGTAGACGCAGCTAAACAAGTGTATGTGCTTCTGGGAAGAGTCTTCATTCCATATCTCTGTGTTTAGAATGTCATATGATCAAATAAGGTTGCAAACTATTTCTACCACTTAAAGGAATGGTATTACAGGTCTTGACAGAAAATGCCTGTGTAGTGTATTAGCAAGTGGGGTTATGCCTGCTTTCTCCACTGTCAGGAAGCAACTAGGTTGTTCACAGGATAACAGCAATTACCTTTCATGTACCCAGAACAGTCTAGCACAGGGGTGTCCAACCTTTTTGAATGTGGGGCCAGATCACAAACTTTTTAGCACCCAGTGGGCTGGCAAGCCATATTCAAAGACCTCACAGGAAGTGGTATCACATCAGGAAGTGATGTCATGTGACCTTTGACACCAATGAAGTTACAGGAAGTGACAATGAAATGGGTCTGGAAATGTGCCTAGGGAAGTTGTGGTTTTCAGAAAGTATGTATGTTTGGTATGGCTTATGAACAGGACATCGTTTTTCTGTGCAGGGGTTTGGACTAGATTAGGGCTGCCCAGCTGACTACCTGCAGGCTACATGTGGCCCACAAAGGGCCAGGATGTTGCCCACAGTCTACGTGGGGTCTGTAAGCAGTTAATATATAGGGCATGGGCCTGGGCAGCCACCTCTCCCACTGCTGTGCAAGGGGGAAAGGCCTGTGGGGTGGGGAGGAGTGGTCCATGTCCTGCAAATGTACCCTGCATGGCTGAGGATGGGAGTCTGCATGCTGCTGGAGCAGGCCATGCAGTGATGGGGTCCTAGGGACCCACCCCCACAGTGTGCAGCCTGTGCAACGTATGCTGGTGTCATCTGGGGCCCACACCCTCACCAGATCTGAACAGCCCTGGATTAACTTATCCTTGAGATCCTTTACTAACTTGATCATGGTCATTGTGGTTAATTAAATAGAAATTGTGGACGTATACTGCAGAGACGTGGAAGAGATCTCAAGGATAAGCTAGTGCAGGGCAGCGGCGGCAGGACCCGGCTCACTTATGAGCCTGGCCCCACAGGTGTAAGCAGCTCCCCTCCCCTCACTGCTGTCTGGGGCCTTGCCTCACCACGCTGCGGCTTCACATGTGGTGGTGGCAGCTCCGCAGCAGTGCTGCCGCGGGCCACATAAAATGGCTTGGCGGGCCACATGGCGACCTATGGGCTATATTTTGGACAAGCCTGGTCTAGCAGATTAACTCAGGAAACCTTTGTCATCTTTGTAGAGTAACAGAATTCTTCAGCAATAGCACAGGTGGAGTTTTCCAAAGGTAGGCATGTTACTAGTAACACACAGCCCTGTTTTCAATGCTAAAGTACTAGACCAGGGTCCTTGCAAGATGCTGTCTTCATTTTTCATAGGTTTTTTTTTTTTTTTGTCTTTTCATACCTGTGGTAGCCAGGGTCACAGGGAGGATCAGGACAGTACAATTCACAGGACAGAGAATTGACTCTGAGTGAATCTGTCTATATATCAACTGATCTTCCTAATCTGTCAGATTTACTCTCCACCCCACATCTCTGCTTTTTTGATTTCTTGGAAGTTGTCTGGCTAAGCTCAGCAGATAGTGATTGTTCCATAAAGGTGGAAGAGACCGATATAGAGCAAAGGGCCCTTTGTGGAATTGGTATGCAGATCAAAGTGGAAGAAGTTTTGTCCATCTGTGTTTCACCATTGCAAGCTTCTGTTTGCAAGATTATATTCTCCATCTCCATATATTGAGCCTCACCGTTAATTAATGTTTTCATATATTATTTAGCTGAAGCTGCAGCTTGGAAATTTCAATTAAAACACAAACTATATTCCCTCATATCACATGTCCATTAAGGAGCCTTCACAATGCTGGGGCCTTATTGTAGTTTTACACATCCTGTTAAACCCTCATTTGAACCTTTATGTTTATGCTCTTCGTTTCTACCTCATTCAGAACCATCTTCCTGTTGCTATTCCTGGATTCTGGAAGATTAGCAGATTTAAAAAACTAATGATAAACATTCTTTATATTTATTTGTATGAACACCAGAGTGCTAAGATAACACCATGATTAGTGTGGTATCTCTCCATTTAAAGCAGTCAATCAAATTCTCCACTTTATTGAACCACACTTGGACATGAGATGAACCAAATGCCATACTACAGATATTTCCACAGCTTTTACTGTTAATTAGGCCATAGTTTTTGACACAGACATTGTGCAAATTGATAAATTTGAAGGAAGCCTATGATTATTACAATGCAGTGTGCTGCTTGGGTAGCGGGGAAAATGCATAGAATCATGGGAAGTGGAGTTGAGGGCATTATACCTCCAGTCTGTTACCCTGCTGAAGCAGTGTTCCACAGTAGGGAAAGATGAGGGTATTGTTTAGCTATTGTAATTGTATAGGGTAAATGTATTTTATTTACCCTTTGTTTCTTGAAGAATATTAGATATTGGAGCAGTTAGCTAACATACACATAAATCTTAGCTACTACATGCTTCTCAGATTTTTTGCACTTTGAAGTGATGCCCTATTTCTTTGTTTTATCCTGCTGCTCGTGATAAAGCTAGTGTTGCTGCACTCATGTTGGAAGCATGAGGGCCAGAAGACTGGCAACAGGTAGAACGGTCAATCTCAATGAGCCCAAAGGATGAGCTGTAAGCATGTTCATAGATGATGTGGCCAGCCATCTGAACTTGAGCACCACATCTACAGCCAGCATTGCTGGAGGGGCTCCAAGAGTGCATGTTCACCCTTACACCATCCAATTCCCGTTCTGAGACGGTTGAGAGCAATCCAGGCTCTGCAGGGCAGCTGCCATCTGGCATGGCAGAAGCTGGTGTTGGGGATGAAGCTCTTTAGCTTCAGTTCTTGTGCAGCAGACTGCTTGTTCCACTGATGGGAGGTGACATGCTATCTGTAGACTGGATGAGCTTACTGAGAAAAGGTTCTGAGACTTCAGGCAGTGTAGTTGGTTTTGTGGCTTGTGGCTACTAGGCTGGATTGCAAAGAATGGTCCAGATTTTGGGCTTTGAGGCTTAGGGCCAGGGTAGCAGCTTGTTTTCAGATATTTTGGGGAGGGCGGGATGGTAAAGACTGGTAAGCAGTCAACTGGAGTTGGCATAAGGCATCTGGTAATAGTCCTCATGATGCTGTTGAGGCTGGAATCCACTAACTTAGTGTGCGTGCTTTCATCCCATACTAGCGCCCAGTACCCAGCAGGAGCATACACAAGTGCTAAAGTGGAGATGTGAAGTGTTTGGAAACTTGCATCCCAGGTGGTGCCAGCAGGGTGATGGATAAGAGCTCTTTTGCTGTTAACCTTTTACTTTGGATCCTTTCCAGATGCTGATAGTGTCCAATTTGACTCCTAAATAAGTGACAGTGTAACAATAGTCAAGTGTCTGGTTGCCAGTCTTTACTTTTCTTTCTTTCTTCGCTTGGTGGTTACTTAGGTGGAAGGCTGTGCCACTGTTTTACTACTGTTGCTTCTGCAGTCCCATTTATATGCAGAATGGAGGGGTGTTGACCTTTTTGTACAAATGTGGAAAGCACTCTGTAAGAAAAGTTAGATAAAAGTACTTTCACAGTGAATTGAATCTTGTAGTAATGTGCTGTGAATTAACAAGTATGCTAGCTCCTGAAGGTATGTTAGTATATTTGGTTAGTCGTAAGGCAACTTCTGGGAATGTCTTTGGAATGTCTCAATTTTGGAAAGAAGTGGAATTACTATATGGAGTACAGCCTACTGCATTATTTTATTAGGCCTGATAAACTGTTGTACCGTGTGGAATGTTTCTGCAATCACTTAAATAACTTTATTCCTACTTCTCTAGGAGAGTTTTTTTGCTGCTTGAATTTTCCAAGATTAAGGGTATGTAAAGGCAGATACTAAGGAGAAGTTATTTGGCATTGGAGTTGAGAGATTTGCATTCTGTATTGATCTTTCTGTTGAATTCTTTAAGTGATGAAGGAACTGAGTTGGGGAAGTAAAGCCTCCTTATATATAATTTCATCTGCAATTTCCCATGTCTTAGAATGTGATGTCTTAAAGACAGTTAGAGCTTTCAAGAGGTTTGGACTGTTTGATCACATCCTAATCTGCGAATGTTCACTGAATCTGCTTATAGGTAAAATTTGAGTAACTTTCCATCTTATAAGGTCGTTATGTATTTTTAGAGCTTGTCTGCATGGAAAAGTTTAAAACAAAAAATCTAAGGTGTGGAAAAAAATAAAAATGGCTCTTCCATTATCTTATTTGGCTGGGGGGGGGTTGGGTTTTTTTGTGGTGGCTGCAGAACTTAATGTTGAATGTTGAAGATCCTAACCACCATATTTACTCATGTTACCACACTCTCACCTTGGGCGTGTCTACACGTGACACTGCGTCGTTGTAGTAATGCACTACGGTGATGTGCCTGAGGGCAAAAACTGTAATGCTGCCACTACAGCGATGTTGGGGCTAAAACTAACTGCGCTGCCAGCGCAGTGCAGTACGAGCTGTTGGTGCACAGTAACAATGGTGCCTTAGAGGCATGTGTAAAAGTGCCCCTTTTTTCTAAAATTAGTCCTCCAAAATTGCAGTGTGTGTCTTGAGGGAGGAAGCTGATTTTTCTGCCCAGAATTGGAGCATGGAGATGCTGTAAGACTGCTGCCATTATCTTTACTTCTGTTCCATTCAGCAGCTGCATGACAGAAGGCCAGGTTTAGGTGTGGGTGCAGTAGTGTGGGTCATATTCCTCTTTGATTCCTGCTCCACCCAAAGTTTTAAACCTACTGTCCTGTAGCATCAATGACATTTCTGTTCAGGAAGCGCTGATGGAGCTTGATCGATTTGATTTCATGGCTCATTATAACCTACCTGATTCTAGCTAACTGCTCTTCATTCCAAGGGTGTTTAAGAACTCTTTCGATGGTCTTGATGTTCCATTAATCAAGCTATCCTTTATTTGGCAGTTTTACTGCATTCTAGCTATGCCTGGTTTTTATTCTCTTATCTCTCAGCCCTGCAGACTTTCTTTAGCTCTTTTTCAAAATCCTATATCTATCTGTTGAGTTCAGGCTTCAACAGTGGGTGTAGTTTCAGCTTTTGGCTCAGCAGGAAAGGGAGGGGGAGTGTTCTGAAGATTAGGCTGTGTCCCTGCTCCATGTGGCCATAACTCTGGAAAAATATTGCTTTCTTCATTCTGTCTTCCTAAAAACAAAGTATGTCTCTCTTTTTTGGAGGCATGTCATATACAAGAAAATACGGTAATGAGTCGATAACCTGGAAATTGGAATTACTTCCAAAATTGTATTTGTTTGTTTGTTTTGTAAACAGCAAGATGTAAATCCTATGCTTTTAGGGATAGCAAACACTGTGTGTGTATATGTGTGGTGGCTTTTCAGAGGGATGTGCATCCAAGCCATTCCAAAATTGTAATATAATTAGGAGGGGTTGCCATTGGGGTTTGACTCTTCCGCTGTAACATCTGCAAGGTGCAAAGTTGGCAGTCCCAATTTAAGGCTGTTTTCACTTGGTTCAGCAGATCACTAACCAGAAGATTTACTCTGTATATCATTAGTATGTATACAGACATGCTCCCATTCCTATGATGCTTCTTTTTTTCCTGAAACATGGTTCCTATACTATTCAGCTCAAGCCTTTGATGTATATACAGAATTTAAATCAGACACAAGTGGGCTTACTTTATAATCCCACAATAGATGTGTAAGGATATTCGATAATGTTGGTAAATATTGTTTTTCCTTCGTATATTATATGAAGAATAACTTCTTGGGTAGAATGTCAAAACTCTAGATTATCTAACTGTATCCAGTGCAAAATCTGGCTTACATAGTTTAAAATTTCCCTTTGCTTATGAGCAGATCCAGAAAACAATAAAGAAGACAGCTCGCAGGGAACAGCTGATGCGAGAAGAAGCTGAACAGAAACGTTTAAAGACTGTACTTGAGCTGCAGTTTATTTTGGACAAATTAGGTGATGAAGAAGTGCGCAGTGACCTGAAACAAGGATCAAATGGAGTGCCAGTACTAACAGAGGAGGAATTGACAATGCTGGATGATTTTTACAAGCTAGTTGACCCTGAACGAGACATGAATATGAGGTAGATATATTAAGTAACCTCTCTACAGTTCATATTCAGCATTTAATTTATTCTGGTTATCTGAATTTTGATACTTACTGAGAAACTTATTTATGCTTCTATTAATAAACATCTTTGAAGGTTGAATGAACAATATGAGCAAGCATCCATTCATCTGTGGGACTTACTGGAAGGCAAGGAAAAACCTGTTTGTGGAACCACCTGTAAGTATGTACTGCCTGTTAAAGATTAGAGCTTTGAACACCAGAAGAAATTCATACTAAATATATGAATAAATATTGCGTTACAATCAGATACCTTCAGTAGAGTTTTAACAGTCAGAACTGTTCTTCTCTTCAGATCAGTTTGTTATGCTGTAACTGAATAATTAAATGACATATTAATTTACCACATACTGCATTTGGTACTGACACAACCTTCCTCAGCATTTACCCGAGTCCCTTCTTTCTGTTCCTTCAGCAATATTTTGGTAGTGATAGTGCTGAGCAACAATTTTTTTTCTTTCAAGAGAACTGTGGGTTGGACAACAAAAGTTTTTAACAGAATGTAGTAAATTAGTAAAGGCTGTGGGAATGATTGCATCTTGTGTCTGTTTTTGCAACAGCTTCATTGATGGTCTACCTTTTGCAACTGTTAAAATTAGATTTAATTAATCGTGACTTTTTAGAGCACACTGTGGCCTGATGTTTTTTGGTTTTTGTTTTGTAGTAGTAGTAGTATTATTATTATTATTATTCCCTCCTGCTCCCTTCAAATGCTGAGCTGCTGCACAGCCAGGGGGGAGCCTGTGCACATACCTCAGCGTGCCCTGCAGGCTCCCCATTCTGCCTGATGACAGATGACAGTAGTGCACAGGCAGCTGTGTGATTGGCTGACCCAAACTGCCTGCAGCATGCTGTGAGGATTGTGAGAGGGCTCCATGTTTGGCTGGAGCAGTAGAGTCCCAGCCAAGTGACATGCTGTCTCTCTGGACTGGTGGAGGGAGTTGGGAGTAAACTTGGGAGCAGATGCTCTCATGGAGTATTTTTACAAACATTGTTGTGAGAAGAAACTTAGTTTTAGAATAGTTGTGTTTTTGTACATAAAACAAGGCAATGGCAAGGAAATCAATCTTAGCATATACTTTTATCCACAGTTGCTATTTACCTACAGTTAAAATTTGTTCTCCGTACTTTCTTCATAGCAAATAGATGTGGTGTTATTGCAGTTGGGATAATTGTTCATAGTGTTCATGCACACTTTTTAATACTATCCAGGTGACACAGAAATTATTTCTAGTTGTAGTAGAAACAGTATTCTAAAGGACAACTAGATGCTATGCTTTTCTGCAGTGGCCTGGGAGATGGAAACATTCTTTCAGAGCTTTTTGGATATGAAAGCACTGATTTGAAGCTGCTTATTTGATTCTTTCATTTTTTCATACACAGGAGGGAGAAGCCTCCAGTATGCACAAAAAAATAGTATCCTCCCAAATGTTTGCACTCAGTACCTGGAGCAGCAAGCCTCTGAAGAGTAATTAGTTTGACACAAGTCATTCAAAAGAATCTTAAAATATTTAAATGTGCCAGTTTTTTTCTTCACTCTGGATGAACAGCAGAATAATACGTTCGGATTTTGCTTCCAGTTAAAATTTAACTGAAATCTTAACTAAGGTTTTAATTGAAGAGATGAGTTTATAATTCACCATAGTTTTGTTATAGGTTACAGAATATTTCAGGTTAGGAGTTGTTTAATTCACGTGCAGAGTTCATTATGACAGCAGAGGTATCTGAGATTATCACCATTCCTTTTTAGATAACTTTTATGCAACAAATCTCTTGGTTGTAATAAATCAATAGGATAAAAATATGTCAAGAGTATATTGCAAGATTACTAGGCCCAGCTGGCCCTGATCATTGGTTTTCTGGCCTTACAGTAATGTAGTCATTAGTACTTGAAAGACTTACTGGAACTACTGAATTGACTTAACTGCCCTGAGGCAATACTGTCTTAGCATAGAAATCTTGGACTTCTAGATCAAGCTGTAATAGTGCTCCTCAGTCCTGTTTTCACTAACACTACCTGTTACACTAATGAACAAATTAAGGGCCAAATTAACCACTACACTTTAGTTGTCTTCTAAATTTACATTAACTAGTTCTTTCATTGTGCTGTTTTGTAAACTGTGGTGTATCAGTGAATTTCTTCATAAGCTAAAATTTTAAATGGGATAATATTTTATTCTGACTATTGTCCAATTACCGGAAATATCATGGGGTGGCATACTTTGACATTTTTAAATGATATATGCTAATACTGAGTAAAAACCAAAGAAACAAAAAAAATGAGTTAAGCTTAAGAGTATACATAAGTAATTGACAGGGATGAGGTATTAAAGGGTAAATTTACAACTCCATGGAATTCAAGTGAAGTTTACACTTACTTGAATACAAAGAGGTGTGGGATTTTTCCATGTAGATACCCAAATAGCCTTAATTCTGTTCTGTAGTAATGCTGGACAATGAAGGGGAATATCTTTTTATAAATGTCCCTTCTTAAAAAAGTTGGCTGACTGTAATCTGGAACTGCAAATGCTAAAATGTTTAGTTACTATGGCATCACTCCAAGGTAGAACAGAATTTGGTAACTACTATATCCTGTTAACCTCAGTTGCATGATAATATTCGTTAGGGCTGTGCAAAACTTTGGTTGCTGATTTGATTTGGCAGAAATGGGTTACATTTTGCTGCCGAATCTCTGAATCTGAATCGAATCAGGAGACCCTTTAATGTCTCTGATTCGATTCAGAGAGATTCGACGATTTGGACATAGACACAGCTTTATATGTTTTTGTACATACCTCAAGGTAACAGGCTTTGTGAACACTGAGATGGTGGGGTGGATGGATTGTCCAAGAGGAATTGGGGGGGGGGTCCCCCATGCTCGGAAGTGGACTAGAGGCACTTCTGGTCCATTTCCGGGTCTGCTGCGGAGCACACGGGGGATCCCCCTGGCTCAGTGACTGGTGCCTCCTGGGTCTGGGGGGGGGGTTCCCCGCACACTCCACAGCAGACCTGGAAGTGAACTGGAAGTACTTTCAGTCCACTTCTGGGCCTGCCACCGAGTATGCAGGGGGTCTCCCTGTGTTCCTGTGGGATGCTCCATCGGCCCCACCATCTCAGCTTTCCTGAGCTGTGCCTGGTACTTCGAGGTATGTAGAAAAAACATTTAAAGTTGTGTTTGTGACTGAATCGCTGATTCTCCAAATCAGCATTGAATCTTCAGGTTCAGATTCGGCTGAATCGGATTGGGACAGCGATCTGAATCGGCAAGTCAAATCACTGTCCCGTAAATCGGGCCGAATCCGAATTGAATATGGCCCGCTTCGCGCACCCCTAATATCCATTATTCTGGAGTAATGTGCCATGCTACACTTAAATACAGAGGTAAGGTTGTAGGTTAATAGATATGTTGCATGTTAAAAAATCTTTTAGAAAAGTTGAAGGTGGAAATTTGTAGGTCAGGTTTTCCAAACTACTGTAACCCTATCTAGCTCAAGTCTTCATACTGGGAATATTTTTATTACCCTTCAGCCTAGTACATTCCAGCACACTTCCACATTAGGTATGCTGATTCAGACCATGAAAATCAGCACTTAGATCTTGTTAGCCTCTTTAGAAGTAGTGGACATTTTTTGTTGTGGTTAGGTGGTCACAACTTTAATTTCAGGTCTCCTCTATGCTTGCACTTAAAACTGAATCTGTCTTGAACCACTTTTAGATAAGTTAAAATCTTAAAATGGTTTATAAAATGCTTCTGTTACATATTTAGTTTGTCATCATTAAGTAGTTGACTTAAACTGTCAGGACCTGTGGATTTGAGTAATTTACTAATCCCATGCTAATAATTTTGCTCAATCCTCTGCTGTTTTAAAACTCAAAATTAATTAGCTGGACTTTTTAAAATCTTTTTCTTTCATAATGTACAGGTTGTTGATGAAGATTTAAAGAGAACTTGTTTCACTAATTATGTCTAATAAATTGTATGGGGTTTTGGTATAGGAAGCAAGAAAACTAAAGTGATCTTCAGTCTATACTTGATAAGTTCTTTTTATCTTGCAGACAAAGCTCTAAAGGATATCGTTGAACGCATTCTTCAAACTAATTATTTTGATAGTACCCACAACCATCAGAACGGATTGTGTGAGGAGGAAGAGGCAACTCCTGCGCCTGCAGTAGAAGATCCTGTAGTAGAAGCTGGTAAGTATATAAAGCTCTGATTGGTTTAGGTCAGCTGTGATTGTTATTCTCTGGGACCTATAAAAGCAAAGGAAAAATTATAAATATGGAAACAGCTTAAGCACTTATATCATTCATTTGAGAGAGCCAGGATATATATACATATATAAGTAAAAGATGAATATAAAGTGCAGAAATAATGTGATTGGTTATGTACCAGCAGTTAAACTGCCAATTTGTAGCAGCAGCTGGGTAAGGCGTAGCCATAATGGAACCTGCATTGGGTAGGCAAATGTAAGAGGATATCCTTCAGGTAAACTAACTAAAACATGCTACAGAACAGGGAATCCATGGTGACTTAAAGAGTTTATGTGAATGTTTACGTTGGCTAAAAATTTATAGTCAACTCATCCTTTCTTTTCTAGTCTTCTCTAAAGCAAGACATTTTAAAAAGTTGCAATTCTAAAATCAGAAAGATAAAGTAAATATTTATTTACCAAAGGAGGGTATGTTCAAAATATTGGGTATCGGGGACTACTTTTTCTCTTCTGATTTTTAGTTTTTCACCCATTCAGTGCCCACGCCAAAGAGGTCTGTAACTTGCTCAATACGATGGATCTAAAATGGTCTCTCTTCCTCTTAGAACCTGATCCAGTGGAAGAATACACTGAACCAACTGAAGTTGAATCAACTGAGGTATTAAATCAGTAGAAAAATTGTGGTCACTTTCTATACTTTAATGCTACTTTCCTTTACTTTTATGCCCTTTCTCATTTTTATTTTAGTATGTCAACAGACAATTCATGGCAGAGACTCAGTTCAGCAGTAGCGAGAAGGAACAGGTAGATGAGTGGACAGTTGAAACGGTTGAGGTAAGAGATTTTGTGTTGCAGGTAAAATTGCAATCCCTGTTTCAAATGACTCACAGATCTTTCAGCGTTTTCTTAAGAGGCTGTAACACAAAGATAATGGTTTTTAAACTTTTGCTGACTATATTCACGTTTTCTTAAATTCTGTGCGAAGCTAGATGGCATCTAAAAATTAGCAGTAATTCTCAACCAGGGTACCCGCAGATGCCTCAGGATACTTTGAAGTGTGGCACGGGGTGTGAAAGAATAAGTGAAGGGTCAGGCTTAGTCCCTGCCCAGCCATTATTATCTCCGCTCAGCCCTTCTGCAGGGGGTCCGACTGTAATAAATGTTGAAGGGGAGTGTTGCTCAATTTACAAAAGTTATGGAGGAATGCCTTGAGCCTACAAAGGTTGAAAACCACTGAATTGGACTGCAGTATGCAGCTAGACCTCAGTGAGGAAGTTTTATTTTAACAGTTTGGGAGCAGCTTGGAGAAGTGGGGTTTCAGAAATAGAAGAGATATTAAGAAATTTTAAAATTGATTTTGAGATTGAGTCTATGTAGAATTTCCATGCTGTTACACAGATGCTGGCAGCTCTGTGGAGTTGAGTTGTATTATGCTGTTTTATGAGGGGAAGAAGAAAATTCCACATAACCCAACCGTATCTCATTGCCTGACCCACAAGTTATACTTGGCCCCAAAATAGATGCGTCCATTTACTGCACATATTTTTATTCCTATTCAGTTTTTTAAAGGGAAATACTTAAAAGAAGTGTTCAGCTCTTCAAAGAAGTTGTTGTAAAGTACAGTTAAGGACATATTTATTTTTGCCAATGTCTTTTGCAGCACTTTCTCTGATAGTTAGGGTTTTTTAGATATTCTAATTCTTCACATATGTAAGGAATCTACTGCTATATTGCATAGGAACTTGCATGAAAAATGTGTAGTTGTATACTGTCTCCTGCTTCATAACTGCTCAATTCCTGAGTTGGAATTGTGACTTGAGTAATCCATTTGAAAAAAAAATGAAGCAAGGTGGCGAATCTCATGGTTCATCTTGACTTCCTTCAGAACAAAGTTCCAGACTAAATTTGTTTCCCCTTACTTCCATGTTGTGTCTTTAGGCTCTTTAAGCCCCGAGGTAAATACCTATCACCCTTACAGGTTTTTGAGACCGAGAGAGCAGCCGTCCAAATTCTGCATCTAAAGACTAACTGACATTTGTGGTTTTGAAGGCCACCAATAAATTTCATGAATACTTAAAAGTTTCACATCCATTCTATCTATAGCTTTTTTCTGTAGGCATTGCCAGTACTGATTTTGCCATGTCATAGCACTTAAACACTATTCCCCAACTATAAAATCATTAAAATATTAGGTTGAATTATTTAAGAAAAAAAGTCATTTCAAGTATATTAGAAATGCATCTAAGAAGAGCGTTATAAACCCAGGTCATTAAGACTTAAGATTATATTTTAAGACGCCAGATATTGATTTATTGGAACACACAGTTGAATACTCAGAGAACACTGAATTGTACTTATGCTGTGCAACAACTATATAAATATAATACATGAATTTAAGTTTGTATATCCATATTGATCTATTATCCACAGATATTAGAAATATCAAACTGATATTCTTAGAGGCATTCTTCTTCATATTTCTTTTTCTGTGTGTGTCATTAGTGGCCATAAGAAACTATACCCTGGTTTCTCCCTCCCTCACAAATAAATATCCCAGTAATGTTAATAACTGTGGTTACTTCTTGTTCAGCTGCTGGTGAAGACGTTTACATTATAAATAATTAAAGAAAAAAGATGAACGTTAATACTAAAGTCTCTTCAAAGACTACATGTTACACAAGATGTTTTCAAGATTTCTCTAAAATTAAGTGGCTTAAAAACAAAAATGCGTGGTCTAATGTTTATGAAGACCAAAAAAAAAAGTTTGAGTTAGGTGCTTCATTGCTTTGAAGAACCAAATTTTTAAGAATAATTCAAACTAATGAATGTATTGGTAAATTCTCAGGAAATGTACTGTGTTCCCAAAGGGCAAATGTTATAATTTGGGGGGAGAATTTTTCTTCTCCCCATTTGTACATATCCAAATAGCTGGATTCTTACTTTGCATATAAAATAAGATCAATATAAATTGTAGAACTCTGACTGGCACCTCCACAAGGGTAACAGGTGCTTTAAAAATACAGCATAACATACCTAAGATATCTATGGATAAGGCGGGCAGCTATTTCGATTTATATAAATGGCATTAGTTGTTTGCTAAATCCTATTTCAATAGGAATTGGAAGGTTTAACCACACACATTCCATGTTGGGCAATTTAATTACCAATTTAATTGCAGCTATATGGCTTAGTCTTTACTTACTAGGCTTCTGACCATGGTGTATTGTAAGTATAAAAAAAGTGAGATGGAGTAATATAAATTGATATGGTTGGGTTTTCAAGCAAGGAATAACCTTTGAATAGTTTGAGTAATTTGTTGTGTTCTATTAAAGGTTAGCAATCTGTTGCATTTGACCCAGGCAGTCTCCACTGAGTTTCAAAAAGATTGTTCAAGGTTACTCTGTCAGTTCTATCTGATCTTTGCCACCTGACCCACCCTTCATACCTGATGGAATATGTGCCTTGGGGCACCAGAATGGAGGCAGGGTAGGGGAGGCTTGGACTTCTGACTGAAGCTACACAGACCAGAGCAGGGGCAGGATGGTGCTGCAAGAGGAAGTGTCATTGCCAAAAGCCAGGTTAACACTTCCCTGGCCCCACAGCTACTGCCGATTGACATGGCAAGTGAGGATTCACAGATATTAGAAATAACTTTCTCTCTAGAAGGGTAGTAAAACACTACAGAAATGATGTGGTTGTGGACTCTCCATCCTTGGAGGTTAAGACCTGGGTAGACAAAGCCTTGGCTGGGATGATCTAGTTGGGGATGGTCCTGCTTTGAGCAGGGGGTTTGACTAGATGACCTCCTGAAGTCCCTTCCAGCCCTTATTTTCTATGATTCTGTGATGGTGGCTGCAGAGCAAGGGATGACCATGATGCCTGACACTACTTCTTGCACCAGCCCTATGCTCTGCTTTCAGCCTCCATTCTGCCACCTACCGTTACCAAGTGCCCATGGTTTGCATGCTACATAGCAGCTGCTTTGTAGCATGCATGCTGTGGGTTGGTCCATCTCTGTCAAAATTCAAAAATAGTATTGTGAGGCAGGTGTGTCAAAGATGCAGACTGGGAGCTAAATTCAACTCATGCAGTCACATTTGGTCCTAGCTCTTGAGGTGACCCATGCCACACCAGCCCAGCCCTATGTGTGGGGCCCAGGATATGTGCCATATGTGTCTTTTCTAGGACCTGTGCTGCATGTGGTACCCACATGGAACTAGTCCTGTCTGTTCCGTTCCCTGCCCCCCCACCTCACCTCTGTCAAGCAGCATGTCAGGTCTAGCACCTGCTCCAACCTGTCCAAGGCAGGTGCCAACTTGCAGCACAGGTCCTGGACTGGCTTGAGCAGGCACTGGATCTGGCATGTGGGGGTGGGGATGAGTATGTGGGTCCCCCTCTTACTGGATCCAGTGTCCACGCTGGCCAGTCCAGGACTGGTGCCTCCTCTAGCTGATCTGCGATTCACACTGAACATTGCACCTGCTCTAAACTGGCTAGAGTGGATACTGTGCGGCTTGCATCCTGATCTAGCTAGAGCAGGTGCCACATATGGTGCAGAAACAGACTGGCTGAAGCAAATGCTGGGGTGCTGCTCACCAGATGAGTTTGACACCGCTGTTTATAGTATGCATGGATAAGGAGACAGAATTTTGCAGCGTGTTCAGCTTTGCCATTGAACTTAATGATGTTTTCTGTCTAAATTGAATATTTAACTAACTTCCTTTTCATGCAGGGGAAAAAACCTGTCAAACTATCTCTCAGATCGCTTCAGTTGGCTGTAGTCTGTTCCAAATCTTGATGTATTAGACTTATTAACTGCATAATTTGCTTACACAGTTTTTTAAGTTCATAGAGAAAATCAGTTCTTGTCAAAGCTCTTATATTGTTATGGGAGATGTATTTGCATTCTGAATAATTCTTCAAAATGTGTTTCAGTGTTTAATATTCTCTCACCAAACAGCATTGCAATCTTTGTTACATTTTACACAGAATTAGCAGCAAATAAGAATTGGACTTTAATACATATTTCCTTTTTGCCTTTTAAGGAGATCCCAGTAACGGGGGTGCCTGATGTAGCAACCTGGCCACACATCCATTCAATTAATGGTGTGATAAAATGAGAAATAAGCCACAAAGGTATTATACATGTGTAATAACTTTGTAGCTGGTTCCTATCATGCCTTTAATTGAACATGTGGCCAGCATTCCCAGTCTGTGGTGCACACTGGAGCCCTTTAAGATTCCTGTGTGCTTCAGAGACTAGGAATGCTGGTCAGCTAACTGGAGCTCTCAGCTGGGGGAGCACATAAATGTACACCTTGCTGGGGTCGTTTGACCCCAGTACTTTTTCCTGCCATGGCAGGGGGTTGGACTAGATGATCTGCTCGGGCCCCTTTCGACCCTAGAAACTATGAAACTATACAGCCATGCTGTTCCATTTATCAGTGTCATGCTCCCCTCCACCCTTTGCTCCAGGTTTACTTGTGATGTGAAGAAATGTTGATATTCTAAGTTCCCCCCCTGAGCACAATACAACCTCACAAAACTGGTGATAAGTTTGTTAGGGAGGTAGAATTTGGTCATTGGCTTTAAAGTATAATAAAACACTTTTCATGTTTTGTGCACACATTGCAGAACAAGTTTTTGATAGGAATATTTGTTTACTGTACAGAAGTATCTAAAAGTTTAGCAACGTCTGAATAGCTATTTTGAGTTCTAGGAATGCCTAGGCGGTTGCTGAATGTATGTGAATTACTAGTTTCAAACAGGTAGTAATTTTTTTTAAGTTAGTGACTTTTTAAAAAATTTTTATTTATTTTTCAAACTACTGGATTTACCTGAATCCAAGATGACTTGGAATTTAAGGTAACCCCCTACCACCTACTCTCCTGGCCAGATAATTAGATTCTGAACATGGAACATTTATTAACTTGTTTATAGTCTTCCATGTCTAGAATTTATTTTTGGAAAGTCGTTTTAAATTTGGTCTCCCCATACCTTTGCAGTGGTGGTGGCCGGGAGGGGGCGGGGGGTGGCAAGAGGCAGGGAGTGAAGTGGCCTGATTCCTGCCTGTCCTGGCGACTAGCCCCTCCCACCACCATTCCTTCCCCACCCCCTTTTTGTTTGCCTCCCTACCTGCACCTTGCCTTCTGCCTCTTCTCCATACTTTCATGCCTCCTAACTACCCCTTCCCCCATGCCCGTGCCCCAACACCTGCCCTTCCCACCACTTGTAGCACCTCCACCCACCATGCCACCACTTACTTTTCCCTTGTAGCTCTGACTCAGCTGAGTCCCTGCTCTGGGCTGGGGCAGGGAGCTTGGAGCAAGTGCTGTCTTCAGCCCCAGCCTGCTGTAGCTATTGAAGCAGTAGCAGCTGCTGCTGTGAAGCCAGGGCTAGAGCTGCTGTTGCCACTGTGTGGCCAGGCTGGGTCCAGAGGCAGCACATGTTCCCTGCCTTGGTCCAGAGTAGGGCCCAAGCCAGAGCTATAACGGAAAGTTAAATGGTGGGGGGGGGAAGCTGTGGTGGAGAGATGGTTGGGGTGGCAGGGGAGTAGAGGCTGTGGGGAGGGCAGGTGGAGTGGGAGGGAGGCAGTAAGGATCAGAAGCTGTTGGGGATATGTGGCAGGGGGAGGCCCCTTGCTTATAATTGAATCCAGGATGAAGGTTTTCTCCCCATATTGAATGGGGGTGGGGAACATTGCCTTGGTTTTGAGTATATACGATACTTGGGGTAGCTAAACCATCAGATTTGAGTAGGAAAAACAGAGCCCAAATGACAGACTCGGAGATTAACATTGTTAGTATAGAATTGAATTCCCTCTGTCCCTTAACAGACTCGGAGATTAACATTGTTAGTATAGAATTGAATTCCCTCTGTCCCTTAAGCGTGATTCAGTGACAAAAAATCTTTGTCTTATACACCTACTTTGCAAGTACGATTGTGTATTCTTTTTCTGTCGGCAGTATTTTCTTGGAAGTCATTTAAACACAGATTCTGGACAGGTTGGCAACAGAATATATCCCCAGTGGATCTGTGAAGGACTTGTTATTGTATTTTGCACCTTTGTGAAAGGCTGTAGTCTAGAAATGTCCTGAAGATCAGACTTCTCAGCCTCTGCTGTTTGCCACCGCCACCACCAACTTGATTGGTTTCAGGATGAATATAATCAATGCAACTTGCTTTGATACTGTGACCCCACAAATTGCTGAACACCTGATACGCAGTGCATCCAACCATTTCTACTTATTCTTTCTTTCCTTTCTTATTGGACTATCTCTGGTAAATCCTGCCTGTCACTTTCCATGTATGGTGCAGATACCTTCGTATGCATTTTTTGTTTTGGCTGCACAGCAGATTTGAGCCTGTTTCTTGGCCATTGTAACTTGAATCTTGAAACTTAAGTGGCTTAACAGCATCTCTGTTCCATTCTCAAAATATTTTGGTGTCTGTTCAGAGACTGGAAATCTCTTGATGTAAATCAAATCAAAGAGGTTTTTCATCCCTTGTAAATTCATCGGAATAGCTACTCCAGAGTAGTTATTCTGGAATTGCTCCTTGGATTGCTACTGCTATTCCAAAATTGAATATTAATTTCTGATTTAGTGCATTAATTAACTTTGGAAGAAAACACAGAAGAAGGTGCCTGTATAGAAAGTGATTCTGGAATAATTTTTCAAGAATGGCTAATTTTAGTGATCTTTAGTTGGTTCACAAGTGTAGACAAGCCCTCTAAGTCTGTTTGACAAACAAATAATATAAACAATGTCTTGCATTTATTCTGCCAGAAAAGCAGGTATAATCTCATGGAAGTACTGGATAATCTTTAAAGTTACTAAAGCTTTTGTCACTATCATTATTTAGTAAATAGTTGTCTGATTAAACTAATGGAAATGTTCAACGAAGTGTGGTTTAATCACCAGTGTAGGCAATCTATAAGTAATAGGAGCTCCATTGCTGGCGTGATCGTAGAAGGATACAGAATGACTCTCCACCAAGTCTTTATTAGTATGTACCAGTCCTTTTATCAATGAAGTTGTCAATATTTTACTAATTTTTATGTGAAATTGTTTCAACCTGTGTGTAGCTGTAACTTGAGTTGATTCTTGTTTCTCTTGCTAGGTTGTAAATTCACTCCAACAACAAACGCAGGCTACTTCACCTCCTGTTCCTGAACCTCATACACTTGCTTCTGTGGCTCAAGCAGACCCTATTGTTAGGAGACAGCGAGTACAGGATCTCATGGCACAGATGCAAGGCCCGTATAACTTCATGCAGGTGTGTAGTTGCTCCATGATGTCAATTAGTTTAAGAAACAATGAACATAATTATTTAAATTACTAAGACATGCAGAAAAATTTGTTATATAATTAACTGAGCCAAATAGTAAGGTGCAGATTAGCTGCTTGCATTTTGCTCTTCATTTAGTTTGGCAGCATTCAGCTGCTCAGTGACATATGCCTTATAGTTGTGAGCTAAAATATGTATTTTTGGGGTTATGCTGCAGGAATTTTTCATACCTTAATTAAATTTAAATATTTTGTAAAAGTCTAGCAATCTTAATTTTGGACCTAATCTTGCTCACAGATCTATAACTTATGCACTCAGAAATGTATTAAAAGTTTGAATTTTGTTTTATTCTTGTAGGACTCCATGCTGGAGTTTGAGAATCAGGCTCTCGATCCTGCCATTGTATCAGCACAGCCCATGAATCCAGCACAAAATTTGGACATGCCACAAATAGTTTGCCCTCCAGGTTTGTAATGGTAAATCATAAAACTGCATCTTGGGGGAGGCTTGCAAAATGTAAACTAGAAATGTCTCAACTCTTGTTGTCTGTAAAGTTTAAAATTTGAGGGGGGATGGGACAATAGGTTTTGCCTTAGCTTTGTTTTTTGAAACAACAGGTTCAATTTTCTAAAGTAACTTAGACTCAGACAGATGCACAGCAAGGAAAATATCTAACTAACTGTTTAAATTTAGGCAAAGTTGTAAGAACAGGAAAACAGTGTCATCAAATATTAGGTGTCAGGTAGCTTAATTGGTAGGGTGGTACACTGCTTTATTAATACTGTATAGGATCTCTCTGAAACACTAATTTATGTAATCAAATCACTATACTTGCAGTTCATGCTGAATCAAGACTTGCCCAGCCTACCCAGGTTCCTGTGCAGCCAGAAGCTACTCAGGTAAGAATAGCCTCAGTAAATATTCGCTACATCTTGAGTTGGATTTGTTTCCTTTAATTTGTTGAGTATTGGGTTGTAAGAAGTTTATCAGAAATCTTCTGTTCTTCCATTTGAAGACTTTTATTACATTATAAGTGTCTTGGCTACTCCTTCAGTTTTGCTGTGTCTAAACTAGATTAGGGCTGAACAAAAAATAAAGTTTTTCTATTGGCAGGGGCAGGCTGCGGATGCAGCGGTAATTGCCATGGCTCTCAGAGCAGCAGCAATTAGCAGTGAAGACCACTCCATGTCCCCTCTTCCCTCTACCATATTTTCTACCATACAAGTAGAGAGCCCTTTTCCTGTGTATAATGCTCACCCCAATTTTCCCCACCTGTTTTTCAAGGAAAATGTACAAGTTTAAATGTGATAAATTATAGCATTATTGGATTTCTTAACAAGATATGAATCACATCAGTTAGTGCAGATGTAGTTAGGGATCTTCTGGAAGGGCTAGACATTTTTAAATCTGCAGGTACAGATGCCCTCCACCCAAGGGCAGGGGTCATCGCGGAGCCCTTGGCCCAGCTGTATGAGCATTCGTGGTCATCTAGCCAGGTGCCAGGGGGTTGGAAACTGGCTAATGCGATCCCAGTTTTCAAGAAAGGGAGGAGGGAGGACCCAGGTAACTGTAGGCCTGTAAGCCTCACCTCAGTGCTCGGGAAGATCTTGGAGAGAATCATCAAAGAGCACATCTGTCGGGGGGGCAGCAGGGGAGATCATGCTCAGGGGCAATCAGCATGGGTTCATCAAACTACAGGCCAGTCAGTCTTACCTTGATCCTGGGCAAGCTGTTCGAGAAAATTATTCTGGCACACATCCAGGAGGGGCCAGCAGGGAACTGCAT